CAAGCCCAGCAGCTCCAGTACCTCCAGTACGAGCACCTCCGGGACCCGTGGCTCCAGAACCCCCAGCAGCTCCAGCAGCAGCAGGACCTCCAGCAGCAACAGGACCTCCAGCGCCCGTAGCACCACCAGCTCTAGCAGCACGGCTCCAGCGCCGAGCAAACCACTCGCGCAGTGCTGTGGAGAGAGTGGCTCCCGACGGGACGAAGCACCCGAAGGACCGCCAGGCTCAGCACCTCCAGACTCCACACGCGCAGGCTCAGCACCCTCAGGCTCCGCACCCCCAGACTCAGCAACCCCAGGCTCAGCACCCGCAGGCTCCGCACCCGCAGGCTCAGCACCCTTAGCAGCACCAGAGTCAACAGCTACCTCGACAGGCTCGACTGCGTCTACCTGGGACACACCTGAGGGGGCAGGACCCTGAGGGGGGAGGGGGTCTACCGGGGGGGGACCTGGCGCAAGGAAGAGCGGCGGGGGGGGGAGGGGGGCAGTGCGGTAGGGGAAGAGACGGTAGTAAGGAACCGACTCGTCAAACGTGAGGTCCTGAGAGGACAGAACACGGCGCGAGGTGGGGTGGTAAAACTGCCAACGAGGCGCGTCAGGGGGGAAGCCAAGGAAGACGCAGGGAACAGCACGGGAGGACAGCTTGTCCGCAGACAAGTCGCGGACGAAAGCAATCCCCAGACACGGAAAGCAGACGCATCGCCAACCTTCCCCGTCCACCGCAGAGTAGGTGTGGTCTCCGGCATGGAGACCCGAGGCTGGAGGTTGATCTGATGCGCCGCGTACTGAACCGCGAACGGCCACAGAAAATGGGGAGCAGCCGCATGGATCATGGACGTACGAGCGACGTCCATGACCATGCCAATGCGGCGCTCGGCAATCCCATTTTGCTGTGGAGAGGCCGGAAGCGTGAACGTCTGGCGGGTGCCCTCCGCACGACAGAAGGCTCGCAGAAGGTCGGAGGAAAAATCTCCACCTCTGTCGGAGTGCAGACGCAGAACAGGAAGGTCCGAGCCGAAACTCTCGCTGAGCTGACGACGGGCAGCGCGGATCCAGTCGATCAGCACCTCAGTGACCTCACCCTTGCGGCGCAAGGAAAGACTGTGGTGTAACGCGAGTAGTCGTCAACGACCAGCAGAAAGTAGCGCTCGTGACCCTGTCCACGGACTCGGGCTGGGCCCCACACGTCCATGTGAAGAGTCTGCAAGGGAGCCTCCGTCGGAGGGAACTCGGAGGAGTGAGGAGCGGCGCGCTGCCGCCCCTCGACGCAAGGAACGCAGGTAGGGGCAGGCCTCGGCGGGAGGGGAGGGAGAGACCGGGGAAGACCAGTGACAAGGACACGGGAGGCCATGCCTCGGAGACGAGGCAGGGAGGGGTGACCAAGGCGGTGGTGCCAGAGGAGAGTCTGGTGAGACAGGAGGCGACACGAGCGGGGGGCAGACTCAGGACCAGACCGGGACGCTGCAGCAAACACCTGACCCGACGCGGCTACCTGGCCAGACTCAGCAACCGGAGGAGACACGGTAGTCAGGGTGTACAGGCTCGACCCAGGCTGATGGGTGAACGTGGCCAGGTGCCGGCCCGTCCGAGTACACGAACAGTGGGTCACCCGCTGACCTCCAGGAGTGAACTGGTCAACCCACGCGTCCTGAAGATCAGCTCCACTCACCAAGTTCGTGGAGAACGAGGGGAGGTGGAGGCCAGACAGAGAGCCAGACGGGACCGCCGGACACGGCAGGACCGTGGAGGAGTGTGCAAGGACCGGACCCCCAGAGGGGTCAGCCAGAGAGACCGCCACTGGCCGACTGAGCGGCGAGAGTGTGGTGCAGTCGCGAAAGAAGGAGCGGGAAGCACCCGAGTCAAGGGTGAAAGTGTGCAAGGCCTGAGCCGACACGGTACCTGAGAGAGCAGACTCACCAGCACCTGAGGCAGCAGACTCACCAGCACCTGGAGCAGCAGACTCACTAGCACCTAGAGCAGCAGCCTCAATGCCCGGGTCGGGCGGAACACATAGGTAACAGTCACCCTCAGCACTAATAGACACAGCAAACATAGCAGCAAGGATAGCATCATAATCAAGATCAAAGATAGCAACCCCCGACTTAAGCAGATCACCCCAGCGTGGGATCTCAGTGGAGTCAGGAAACAGTGCACGCCAGGCGTCAGTCAGGCGGCCAAAACAGCGCTGCGTGGCGTGCGGCCCTCCGCACGTCTCCCCACTGCGCTCGCCGGTGCGGAGAACGTAAGCGCAGGGACCAGCACCCCCAGACCTCCCACGCCCCGCGTACCACTCACGAAGCTGCTGGAGTGACAGGGTCTCACGAGAACGCTGCTGCTGCTGGCGCTGGCCACCATCAAAGCCTCCACGCTGCACAGCGCCACCCCGACAAGCACCACCGCCGCCGCCACCCCCACTGCCGCTGCCGCCGCCGCCTCCACCCCCACCACCGCCGCCCCCGCCGTCTCCTCCAGCACCCTTGCCCCCCTTGCTCCTGCCGCTGCGGCACCTCCCACTAGGAGCAGACGCAGCGCCGACCGACTCGGTGCCAACGAGGTCGACCGCAGCAGCAGAGGCAACAGAAGGCAAAAGGGGAACAGGGGAGCACCCCTCAAAGAAAGGGGCACGAGGGTCACCACGAGAGGCTCCTACAACGTCTATACTCTTCTCAGCTGCAAGGAGGCGCTCCTCGAGGAGGTCAACGGTGAGCGTGGTGGGGCAAAGGGAGAGGAAGTGGTCCCTGACCGAGCGAAGGGAGTCAGGGAGCCGGGTGACGAGGTAGTAGAGAGTGATGTACATAGGGGGGGGGGTTCGCGGCGCAGAACTCGGCAGGAAGAGCAGCACGGTAGCGGGTGTCACTAGTGCGGAGGTGCGTAATGAGGTCAGCGACTGTGGCAAAAGCAGCTAGGTCAGGGAACAGGTACGGCAGCATGAGGCGGCTAAGGGCAGCAGTGGCAGGGGAGGAGTAGCGCGCAACAACAGCGTCGTACAGAGTCCTAGCGGTCTTGTACTGGCTAAAGTGCGCGCGCTCAGCAGACGACAGGTGACTACGAATAGCAAGACGGGCAGCAGCATCGCGCGTGGTCCACTGCGAGCGAACAGCACTGTCAGCATCGGCAGCAGGTGCAGCAGAGGCGCCAGACGTGAGATCAAAAAGCGAGACTCCGTCCTTGCTATCGCACTGCAGAAACAGCTGCAGATCATCGACCCAGACCTTGAAATCAACTGCCCGACCCTCAGCATCGAAGGTAAGTACATTAGGGGTAGCCATGACAGCAGTAGCAGTAGCAGTAGCAGTAGCAGTAGCAGCAGCAGCAGTAGCAAGAGCAGCGCGACTCGGCAGGGCAGCGCGGCTCAGCAGGGCGGCGCGGCTCGGCAAGGCTGCGCGGCTCGGCAGGGCGGCGCGGGTGCAGGCGGGATTGGGGTAGGGCCGCAGCCGGAAGGGCAGGGCCGTGGCGCGCCGGCAGGTCAGGGCCGCGTCAGGCAGGGCCGCGACGAGGCGGCAGTGTAGGGCGGCGACGCGGGCGCAGGGTAGGGCCGCAGCGACGGCGGCTGTAGGCAGGGCCACAACAGCGGCGGTAGGCTGGGCCGCGGCGGCGGCAAGCAGGGCCGCGACGGCTCCAGGCAGGGCCGCTACGGCAGGGCGGCAGGGCCGCGACGGCCTGGCGGCAGGGCCGCGACGGCAGGGCCGCGACGGCAGGGCAGGGCCGCGACGGCTTCAACAGGGCCGCGACGGCAGGGGCCGCGACGGCAGGGGCCGCGACGGCAGGGATGCGACAGCGCCAGGCAGGGCCGCGACGGCAGGATAGGCGCACGGGGCGCAGGTGAGAGAGGCGCGAGGCGCGCGACAGGGGCAGGAGCGCGCTTCGGGCAGGGCAGGAAAAACAAAAATTTAAGTGGTGGGTCCTTAAAAAAAACGGTCCCACTAGGGAACCCGCTCTATACCATGTGAGAATAGTACGAGGAATGAATGAACTAGGAAGCAGGTGGGTACAAGTATGAAAACCTAAAAGAGTTGTACCCCATGTTGTCTACCCCACTACAGCCTACAATATAGTTCTGACACGCGCTCCCCCGCTGGTCGACCGGGCAACCATGTCGACCAGCAGCTTCTCCTCGTGCTCGTCAACCACCCAATTCGACGACCACTTCCAGTCGACCACACCAAGTCGACCACACCCCTGGTCGACTAACTCTAGGTCGACCAGCCCAGCCGTCAGCCGACCACACCAAGTCGGCTGCCTCAGGTCGGCGTCCCCAAGTCGACGCCTCCCAGGTCGACCCCGCCAGGTCGACCATCCGAACTCGGCGCCCACCAAATTCGGCGCCCCTCCCAGGTCGACGTCTCCCCTCGTCGACCACCAGGTTGAAGTCGGCTGCCGGCTCCCCTCGTCGGCAGCTTAGCAGTGGCCCCCGTGCAGGTCGACCTAGCCAGTCGACCAGCCCTCCCAAGTCGGTGTCGCCCACTGCTGCAGGTCGGCTGCACCTCCCGCACACCCGACCACAAAGTCGGCTCCGCCCAAGCGAGGACGGGGCCAACCACAACTTCCGTTGACAAGGACGAGGTGGGCTGGAGGGAGAGGCAAGAGAAGGAGGTGGTTGGGGGGCGAAAAATAAGGTGAGGTTGGCAGGAGGTTGGGGTGAGTTGAGGGGAGAGCTGAGGGGGGTTACACGCACAATTCATGGATTCAGCATGGGGTCTTGTTGTTACGGTACTTATTTAGAAAGTGAAAAAAAACAAACAAAAAACAAAAAAAAAAACAACTTTGCGCACATAATCGAGGAGCGGATATAATCATGGTGCTCCATTTTAGAGCGCATGCGCTTATCATAGGCCTGCACCTCTATCGCCTCTTTTCCTCAAGTTCAGGCCCGAGGCAAATGAAATGTGGGGCTTCTATTTGGGGAATATGGTATATGATCCAAAGTGGTCATGTGCCCTGAGGGGTACTACATTCCCTTGTCTGGGTGCAATGCACATAAAAGTGACGTCTCAGTAACCCTAACGGAACCTCAGCCCCAGCCAACTCATGACACTATCGGAACCCGAGCTCAAAAATGAGCTCCCGCTAGCAGAACATTTCGTGGTAGACGACTCCTCTCCGGTGCTTGCACTCTCTTCTCTACCAGACGCCCGCTCTTCCTCCTTGTCAGGGCAGAGCTTGTCAATGAGGGCACGGAGGCGGTATGCCACGTCCTTCATGTCGGGGCGGCGTGTGCCCGGCGCCTTAATGCAGTCCAGTGCCAGGTCAGCAAAGTCCACCACGGCCTCCTCACTGGCCTGCAGCTTGCTGTCCTTGAGCTCCTCAAACTCATATGCATCCACCCTCTTCTGCGCCTGAACCAATGGCGGAGCGAAAGGGCATAATTAATAGGAAATGGCGCGAGGTAGTGCAGTAAAAAGAAAAGGAGCAAGGCGGCATGGTACAGACCAAAAAGTGCAAGGTAGCATGGTAGAGAGGGGAGGTGGTGCAAGGGGCAGTGCCACGATTGAATCTAGCATGCGCATACCCAGATCTTGATATGGGTTGCACGGTGAAAGGTGGGTGGCGTTCCACTCAGCAACTCCAGGAGAACAATGCCGAAGCTGCAAGCAGGCGCACAGGGAGACATGGAAATGGCTGGACAAAACGACGACCAGCAGCACAGACATTCCTGCGAAAGCTATATTTCGGACACGTTAAAGGCATCAGTGTTCCAGTATCTTGTGAGCTGGCAGAGCGCCATCAATCCACACGCACCTGAAGACATCGCTCTTGGCCGTGATGACGTTGGAGCGGTTGTAGTCTGGATCCACATAGCCAGGCGTGCCCGCCACTCTGGTGGCATCAGTGTCGCCATGAGTGAGCAGCTTGAGCAGCCCAAAGTCTGCGACCTTGGCATGCATGTCGGCCGTCACGAGGATGTTGGCGGGCTTGATGTCGCGGTGGATGATGGGCGTTGCAAACCCATGCAGGTACGCCAGGCCCTCCGCTGCTCCTTGCGCCAGGCGCAGCCTTTGGCGCAGCGAGAGAGGGTCTGGAAGAGAGATCACGAGAGGCAAGCATGTAGTAAGTGTGTGTGTGTGTGTGTGTGCGTGCGTGCGTGCGTGCGTGCGTGCGTGCGTGCGTGCGTGCGTGCGTGCGTGCGTGCGTGTGTGTGTGTTTTGTTTTTTGCAACTTTTGACATTCTTTGCTAAAGCGCACATGGGTAGCAACATGGTGAGTTGGGGCTTGAGGGCAACTGACTGTTGGTCTTGTAGAGGTGGTGGTGCAGGTCTCGGTTGGCCACAAACTCGTACACGAGGATCTGCTCCTGCTTGCCCGTCTCCATGTCCTGGTCCTGGCAGAAGCCCAGCAGGCGCACCAGATTCACATGGTGCAGCGATGCCATGGTGCGCACCTGCATGCGCCGCAAAGCACGGTGGTAAAGGAAGACAGAACTCGAGTTGCAGGGTCTGACAGCGCTTGCTTCCACTATAGCAGAAAAAGCTGAGCATTTCAAAGAGCAAATTGGACCCACAGTGCCACTGTGCTGTGGCTGCATGGCAAGAGTAGAGCCATGGTGCAGGCAGCAAGGCAGAGGCTGACCTTGGTCTCAAAGTCGTTGGTCATGATAGTGGAGCGCTTCACTGCCCACAGCAGCCCCTGCGGCGAGCACCCCTTGTACACGATGCCAAACCCGCCCTTCCCCAGCACGTTGTCACTCGCCCAGTTGTCCGTGGCCTTCACCAGCTGCTGCAGTGAGAACTGCTCGCACACGTCCAGCCCTTTCCATTTCCCTACGCACTCACAGAGCACAGTGAGGTGGGGCGAACGGTGCGAGGCCATGCAGCAAAGGCAATCAGCAAGGGCTTGAGCGAGTGGGCAGAGTAGGGTTGCAGAGGTGGGGGCGGCAGGGAGGGTGGGCTGTAGTGCAGGCAGGAATGGTGGCATGGCAAGGGTGCAGGGCAGCCCGGAAAGAGGTGCAAGAATGGGAGGGATGACATGGGAGCACTGTTGGGGGTCTTACTTTGTGCGCGGGGCCACATTAGCCAGGCGAGCACAGCGGTGAGCAGAGTGAAGCCGGCAAAGCACCCCACAGCAATGCCCACGATGGCACCTGTTGACAGCGAAGACACTGGCACGGGGGGAGCAGGGGGAGTGGGGGAAAAGAGGCGGGGAGTGGAGGAGATGGAGTTGAAGACGTGCTATGTGAAGGCCTGCAGGGGGGGATATGTGAAGTGAGCACAGCGTAGGCTCCAGAGGGGGCTGTACAGGTGTGTGGGGGTGCCTTACAGTTGGTGGTGGTGGCATTGACGATGGCGCACGTGGAGCCGTTGCCCACGTCCACTGGAGAGTACCCAGCATCGCACGCGCACGTGAAGTTGGCCTGGGCGGCCGGTGCAGGCGGCACGCACGCGCCATGGCCGTCACAGGGGCCGTTGTCAGTGATGCTGCAGAACGCCTGGCAGGCTGCCGTGCTGCGCTGAGTGGCGTTGGACGGGCACTTGACGTCCCGATTGTGGGTCAGACAGTTCCCTGCAAGACTCCCCCTGGCGCCCTTGCCTGCCCCCGCCACCGAGTAGTCTCGCTGGCCAGAGAAGCCAGCGTCGCTGCACTTCCCTGCTACCCCCACGCTGGTGTCATCCAACAGTAGCTGGTTGCGCTGGGTGATCTCCTCGGGGCACACCTGGCAGCCCGCGGCAAAGAGCACGGCTTCGCCGTAGAAGAAGTTGTGTGCGAGGTTGATGAGGGCGTCGCTGTCCGCCACCATGCTGTTGAAGTTGCGGCACACACGCCCGTACAGGCTGTTGTTGCTCACGTCGCTGCAGGGGGAGCAGCAGGGGGGGTGACAGAGGTTGGTGCTTGGCTCTTTGATCCGAGTTGATATGCCAAGGTGATGAGTGCGTCGCCGTCTGCTACCATGCTGTTGAAGTTGCGGTTCACGTGCCCGTACAGGCTGTTGCCGCTCACGTCTCTGCAGGGGGGACAGAGGACGGACGTGAGGAAACGAATGGTTCGCTAGAGCGAGCTGAAAGCCCCACCTGACAGTCAGCAGCGGGCCAGGCCACTCACCACTCTTTGCACCTGACCGCACCGCACTGGCAGCAGTGAGTAGCATGCCTCGCAGCACTCTTTGGTAGTAGTGGGGTGGATGAAGTAAGCAGGTGGGCTCACATCTGGTTGATGCATTTGTCGAAGAGGCAGTCTGGCAGAGGCCCGTAGAGATGGTTGTTGCTCACCATGCTGCCAGCACAACCCATGCCATGCCATGCCATGCATGCACCACCATGAGTCGCACCATACGGAACCGCATAGAACGACTGAAAGACAGGACAAGAAGCCAAGATAAGCCAAGATAAGCAAGATAAGCAAGATGAGTAGATACAAGATAAGTAGATATAAGATAAGATGTGGCGCACACTTGCGCCACCTGGATGGATGGGCATGCTACTTGCTTGCGGTGGTTGGTGCCACGCAACTCACACGAGCGTCCAACTGTCTATTTGGCTTGTGTGGCAGTCTTACTTAGTGCGCGTGTCACCTTGAGCAAGCATAGCACTCCTTGCAAGGCTCTCGCTCATGTCAACGGTACCCAGCTGTGCCTTTCTCGAGCCTCTCCTATTCCACTCGAGCTGCTGCTCTGAAGAGCTGCTTCTGGTAGAATTCAGGCACACAAGGGGTGCCTCATGCACACGGGGCTTGCTTGCACTAGACCACAATTCCAGCACACTCTCCACTCCACACCCGTGCCTGTGTACTGGTCACAGCTTGCATTCGTCCAAATGCTACGATCCGCCTGACCGGACAGGACCAATGCCTGAACATCCCCTTGTCACTCCAAGAAACATTTGCCAGCCACTCACATGCGCCACAGCCACTCACATGCGCCACAGCCACTCACATGCGCCACAGCCACTCACATGCGCCACAGCCACTCACATGCGCCACAGCCACTCACATGCACCACAGCCACTCACATGCGCCACAGCCACTCACATGCGCCACAGCCACTCACATGCGCCACAGCCACTCACATGCGCCACAGCCACTCACATGCGCCACAGCCACTCACATGCGCCACAGCCACTCACATGCGCCACAGCCACTCACATGCACCACAGCCACTCACATGCGCCACAGCCACTCACATGCGCCACAGCCACTCACATGCGCCACAGCCACTCACATGCGCCACAGCCACTCACATGCGCCACAGCCACTCACATGCGCCACAGCCACTCACATGCGCCACAGCCACTCACATGCGCCACAGCCACTCACATGCGCCACAGCCACTCACATGCGCCACAGCCACTCACATGCGCCACAGCCACTCACATGCGCCACAGCCTCTCACATGCGCCACAGCCACTCACATGCGCCACAGCCACTCACATGCGCCACAGCCACTCACATGCGCCACAGCCACTCACATGCGCCACAGCCTCTCACATGCGCCACAGCCACTCACATGCGCCACAGCCACTCACATGCGCCACAGCCACTCACATGCGCCACAGCCACTCACATGCGCCACAGCCACTCACATGCGCCATAACCACTCACATGCGCCACAGCCACTCACATGCGCCACAGCCACTCACATGCGCCACAGCCAGGGCAGCGAGCAGATGGCGGATGGCAGAGGGCCCTCGATGCTGTTGTTGTCCAGCCAGCTGAGAAAGGGGGGGCAGGCAGGGAGGGAATGAAGTGTTTTGAGTCCACTCAAAACACACGAGCAGATGGCGGATGGCAGAGGGCCCTCGATGCTGTTGTTGTCCAGCCAGCTGCGGGGGGCAGGCAGGGGCAGAAGCAGGGGCAGAAGCAGGGGCAGAAGCACAGGCAGAAGCAGGGGCAGAAGCACGGGCAGAAGCAGGGGCAGAAGCACGGGCAGAAGCACGGGCAGAAGCACGGGCAGAAGCACGGGCAGAAGCAGGGGCAGAAGCAGGGGCAGAAGCAGAGGCACGAGAGCATCAGACTGTAGTGTGGAAAGTAGAGAAGGCACACAACATGGGTGGGTTTGGCAGGGCGGACAGCTTGGCACGCATGTAGGCATGAGGAGGAGAATCAAGATCATTGGGTGGTGGGGAGCAACAACGGGGGAGTGGTGGGGGCACCAGGGTTGCCTGCGATCTTGAAGGAGAGCCGCTGCACTGAGGCAACGCCAAGCCTGCACTGGCTGCCCCACGCCCTTGCCTCCATGCCTCAGTTCGCTGCCATGCACATCGCATTGCCTCCCCTGGTGCGCAACACGCTCCCCCTCACTGTTTGAGAGGGCAGGCAGGGAGGGCAGGCAGGGAGGGCAGGCAGGGAGGGCAGGCAGGGAGGGCAGGCAGGGAGGGCAGGCAGGGAGGGCAGGCAGAGAGGGCAGGCAGGGAGGGCAGGCAGGGAGGGCAGGCAGGGAGGGCAGGCAGGGAGGGCAGGCAGAGAGGGCAGGCAGGGAGGGCCCTCACATCTGTTGGAGCTTCCTTAAGCGACTGATGGCAGACGGCAGACTGCCGCTCAAACGGTTGTTGGCCAGGTAGCTGCAGAGCATGGAGGGGCGCATAGAGGGGCGCATGGAGGGGCGCATGGAGGGGGGTACGGAGGGGAGTATGGAGGGGGGTACGGAGGGGAGTATGGAGGGGGGTACGGAGGGGAGTATGGAGGGGGGTACGGAGGGGAGTATGGAGGGGGGTACGGAGGGGAGTATGGAGGGGGGTATGGAGGGGGGTATGGAAGGGGGTATGGAGGGGGGTATGGAGGGGGGTATGGAGGGGGGTATGGAGGGGGGTATGGATGAAAGCATGGAGGGGAGCGACCGCTGTGAGCAAGGGCAGCATATGGGAGAGCAGCGCAGGTTGGAAAAGGAAAGCAGCGTGGTCACAGTAGGGGAAATGAGGTGCAACGGTTCGTCTTAAAACCAAGAATCCATCACTTACTACATGGGCGTAAGACTCACAGGGATTGTAGGTTCGTCATGTTGAAGATGGCATCTGGAATGGTCCCCGTCAGTTGGTTGCTGTCGACGATGCTGCAGAGGCATGGCAAGGGCAGAGCACATGAGGCAGCAGCTGCTACTAGGTTCTAGCCTGGCCCTGCCAGCTTTCTCCTTGAATTACTCTGGGTGAGAAGACTACACTCCGCAGATGCAGGTGGGATTATGGTAAGGGGCATGTGGTGAGGGGCATGTGGTGAGGGGCATGTGGTGAGGGAAGGGCATGTGGTGAGGGGCATGGCATGTGGTGAGGGGCATGGCATGTGGTGAGGGGCATGGCATGTGGTGAGTGAGGGGCATGGCATGTGGTGAGGTGAGGGCGCAACAGCAGACGAGGCTCACATGGCCTGCAGAGTGGAGAGCGTGGAGATGGAGTCAGGAATGGGCCCTGTGAAGTTGTTGTTGCTCAGCGCCCTGCATGAGCAACAGCACTCATGCATGGGGCATGCATGGCACCCACAAACCCAGGACACGTGATAGAGGCAATACAAGAGCTAGTGGATACAAATATGGCAAAAGGGAGGAGCGCAGATTTATCAAGAAAAACTGAGAGGGGTTTGAGACAGGAAGAAGAGTGGGGGGAGGAAGTGGGGTCAGAGAGGGGGAGAGGGAGAGGAAGAAGCTTACAGCGTTACGAAGCTGCCCTTCCACAGCGAGAAGTCTGGCAAGGAGCCTGTGAAGCCGTTTCCTGCAAAGCTACTGTGCACGGTGCAACGGAAAGGTATGCAAACTCCAGGGACGATGAGCTCGGGAGACCAAGACGACGGTGGCGGCACAGCGAGTGGTGGCAGCACAGCGAGTGGTGGCGGCACAGCGAGTGGTGGCAGCACAGCGAGTGGTGGCAGCATAGCGAGTGGTGGCAGCACAGCTAGTGGTGGCAGCACAGCGAGTGGTGGCAGCACAGCTAGTGGTGGCAGCACAGCGAGTGGTGGCGGCACAGCGAGTGGTGGCAGCACAGCGAGTGGTGGCAGCACAGCTAGTGGTGGCAGCACAGCGAGTGGTGGCAGCACAGCTAGTGGTGGCAGCACAGCTAGTGGTGGCAGCACAGCGAGTGGTGGCGGCACAGCGAGTGGTGGCAGCACAGCGAGTGGTGGCAGCACAGCTAGTGGTGGCAGCACAGCGAGTGGTGGCAGCACAGCGAGTGGTGGCAGCACAGCGAGTGGTGGCAGCACAGCTAGTGGTGGCAGCACAGCGAGTGGTGGCGGCACAGCGAGTGGTGGCGCTGCTTACAGCGTGGTAAGTGTGGAGGAGGCTATAAGCGTCACTGGAAGGTTCCCGGAAAGAGAGTTGTTTGTCAGTTGCCTGCATTGGGAAGGAAGGGAGACAGAGAGAAGTGGTGATTGCTGGCATGCATTATGAACCACTGCCAGACTTGAAGCTGAGAAAGGGAATGCAAAGGTGAAGAATGATGAGATGCAAGGAAGTCTCATAAGAAAAGAGTTTTAGGCACGCAAGTATCAAGATCAGCTTTGTGTATTTGGCTGCAGGCAGGAGGACGTATCGAAATCAATCCAATATTCAGAATCTCAACTTGTGTACTGAGTTGATTTAGGAACCTCACATTAGACTGCTTTGTATTGCAATCTGCACTGCAAGCAAGGGCCGCCATGGAGCTACTCACAGTTAGTAAAGCGTGGGGAGGTGGAAGAGGCCAATCGGGATTGATCCATGGAACTTGTTGTCACTGAGATTGCTGGCCGAGTCACTCAGCAGCGATGATACAGGGATTTTTTTCGAATTCTCACAAAATCCGTGCAACAGTGCCCATGGGAGAGATTCAAAAAGTGCACCACTGGATTGAACACGCAGAATATAAAATATCAAAGCGTGAACAAACAAGCGCTGATATGGGCTGGGCACGAACAGGGAACATGCTTGGCTATGCAGCTCGGTTGACGAAAGAGCTTGGGAGCACCATTGCCAAGACTCGAGCGGGCCTACGAAAGCTTTCTGAAGTAAGTAAGACCAGGTCTACGGGAACAGTGTAAACAAGCGCTGATATCCAGCAAAACAGTGTAATGGGGCGGTCATGGGTCGCCACTCACATGTCCTCCAGCTGCAGTAGCTCGGTCAATTGCAGAGGGATGGATCCAGAGAAGCTGTTGTTGCTCACATCCCTGCCACCGCCAATGCCAATGCCATCACCTTGTGAGAGGCTGCGACAGCCGCCTTCAGTGGTGGCACGAGAAGAAAAGGTTTTTGTTGCAAATTTGTCAAACATAGAAATGATTTTACATGTTATACCCATTGTAAACCACCGTTGTCCACAACCGTGAGAGCGTTTCTCACAGTGAAGCGAGGTGGTGGGTGTGCAGAAGAGGCTGAGGAAAATTTCCCGTGAAGTGGTTGTTGGCAATGCTTCTGATGCACGACCAAGGAACATGTGGTGGAGGGAAGAGGACGAGAGGCATGCAGACACGCACACACACTTGCATTTGGGCATGCGAGTGAGTCACACGTCCGCGGGCCCTCATGCACCGGCCACGCACAACTTGGCACGCACGTGCGTGCGACCTTGATAACACATGTGCACGTTTCCCAACTGCATGCCCCACAAACACATTGAAGGCTTTTCTGCATGGAGCAGGTGAGTGAGTGAGTGAGTGAGTGAGTGAGTGAGTGAGGGATGGATGGAGGAGACTGACATGGCGGCAAGCCCCTTGATGGCAGAGAGGGTTGCTGGAAGCACCCCGGAGAAGTTGTTGGTGTGGAGGCTTCTGCACGGCACACAATTGAGAGAGGGGCTCAGGTGTTGTCACTTGCAGTGAGCCGACGACGGGAGGGAGGGAAGGGGAGGCCTAGTAGGCTTGAGCATCCAGGCGAACATGTGTTTGGGTTGCCTCGAACGTGTTCGGAGCGAACACGCTCGTGTTCGGTTCATCGCGATTTCCCGGGCCGAGGCGAACACGAACATGTTCGTGTTCGCGGGACCCTTAGGACGAACACAATTGTGTTCGCACGAAAGGTCTCGCGACCCCTTTTTTAAGTCGATTGTTTCACTTTGTCGACCTCATTCTGAGTTCGATTTCAGGCTAAGACACCTACCACGGCCTAGACTCTTAGCGCCATCGTTAAGATTTCCTTGAACTCTAATTATTTGCGTTGCCGCAACCTTTTTCTTCTATCCTAGACTAGTTTAGGATTGGCGTCAGTAACATTAACTGTTTGCTACTACTTTCATACTATCCCAAACTCCCACCAGGTCTTAACACCGCCACCAGGAACGCTGAATCCACTAAACTGGTCGACGTGATTATAGAAAAGGCTGCTGAGAATGTGAGCACGAACATGTTCATGCTCGGGGCGAACACACTTGTGTTCACCCTTCCAGAATGTGTTCGCGACGAACCGAACATGTTTGGTTCACCCAGGTGACATGTTCGCCCAAGGGCGAGCACGAACATGTTCGCCTCTTGCTCAACCCTAAGGCCCAGCAAGGAGGGAAGGGGAGGCCCAGCAAGGAGGGAAGGGGAGGCCCAGCAAGGAGGGAAGGGGAGGCCCAGCAAGGAGGGCGTAACGATGAGGCAGGTGAGGCGGGGAGGAGGGTAGGCGCTGACATGTCAGTGAGCCATGTCATCCGAGCCACCACGTCCAAGCCTGCACTCAGACTGTTGTTGGACGCATCCCTCGGATGAAGTCACGGGGGATGCAGGCACGGGGGATGCAGGCACGGGGGATGCAGGCACGGGGGATGCAGGCACGGGGGATGCAGGCACGGGAGATGCAGGCACGGGGGATGCAGGCACGGGGGATGCAGGCACGGGGGATGCAGGCACGGGGGATGCAGGCACGGGAGATGCAGGCACGGGGGATGCAGGCACGGGGGATGCAGGCACGGGGGATGCAGGCATGAGGGATGCAGGCACGTGGGATGCAGGCACGTGGGATGCAGGCACGGGAGATGCAGGCACGGGAGATGCAGGCACGGGGGATGCAGGCACGGGGGATGCAGGCACGGGGGATGCAGGCACGGGGGATGCAGGCACGGGAGATGCAGGCACGGGGGATGCAGGCACGGGTGATGCAGGCACGGGGGATGCAGGCATGAGGGATGCAGGCACGGGAGATGCAGGCACGGGGGATGCAGGCACGGGAGATGCAGGCACGGGAGATGCAGGCACGGGAGATGCAGGCACGGGGGATGCAGGCATGAGGGATGCAGGCATGAGGGATGCAGGCACGGGAGATGCAGGCACGGGGGACGCAGGCACGGGGGACGCAGGCACGCGGGACGCAGGCACGCGGGATGCAGGCACGGGGGATGCAGGCACGGGAGATGCAGGCACGGGAGATGCAGGCACGGGGGATGCAGGCACGTGGGATGCAGGCACGGGAGATGCAGGCACGTGGGATGCAGGCACGTGGGATGCAGGCACGTGGGATGCAGGCACGTGGGATGCAGGCACGTGGGATGCAGGCACGTGGGATGCAGGCACGTGGGATGCAGGTACGGGAGATGCAGGCACGGGAGATGCAGGCACGTGGGATGCAGGCACGTGGGATGCAGGCACGTGGGATGCAGGCACGTGGGATGCAGGCACGTGGGATGCAGGCACGTGGGATGCAGGCACGTGGGATGCAGGCACGTGGGATGCAGGCACGTGGGATGCAGGCACGTGGGATGCAGGCACGTGGGATGCAGGCACGGGGGATGCAGGCACGTGGGATGCAGGCACGTGGGATGCAGGCACGTGGGATGCAGGCACGTGGGATGCAGGCACGGGAGATGCAGGCACGGGAGATGCAGGCACGGGGGATGCAGGCACGGGGGATGCAGGCACGGGGGATGCAGGCACGGGGGATGCAGGCACGGGAGATGCAGGCACGGGGGATGCAGGCACGGGTGATGCAGGCACGGGGGATGCAGGCATGAGGGATGCAGGCACGGGAGATGCAGGCACGGGGGATGCAGGCACGGGAGATGCAGGCACGGGAGATGCAGGCACGGGAGATGCAGGCACGGGGGATGCAGGCATGAGGGATGCAGGCATGAGGGATGCAGGCACGGGAGATGCAGGCACGGGGGACGCAGGCACGGGGGACGCAGGCACGCGGGACGCAGGCACGCGGGATGCAGGCACGGGGGATGCAGGCACGGGAGATGCAGGCACGGGAGATGCAGGCACGGGGGATGCAGGCACGTGGGATGCAGGCACGTGGGATGCAGGCACGTGGGATGCAGGCACGTGGGATGCAGGCACGTGGGATGCAGGCACGTGGGATGCAGGCACGTGGGATGCAGGCACGTGGGATGCAGGCACGTGGGATGCAGGCACGTGGGATGCAGGCACGTGGGATGCAGGCACGGGGGATGCAGGCACGTGGGATGCAGGCACGTGGGATGCAGGCACGTGGGATGCAGGCACGTGGGATGCAGGCACGTGGGATGCAGGCACGGGGGATGCAGGCACGTGGGATGCAGGCACGCGGGACGCAGGCACGCGGGATGCAGGCACGGGGGATGCAGGCACGGGGGATGCAGGCACGGGGGATGCAGGCACGGGGGATGCAGGCACGGGGGATGCAGGCACGGGAGATGCAGGCACGGGGGATGCAGGCACGGGGGATGCAGGCACGGGGGATGCAGGCACGGGGGATGCAGGCACGGGAGATGCAGGCACGGGGGATGCAGGCACGGGGGATGCAGGCACGGGGGATGCAGGCATGAGGGATGCAGGCACGGGAGATGCAGGCACGGGGGATGCAGGCACGGGAGATGCAGGCACGGGAGATGCAGGCACGGGAGATGCAGGCACGGGGGATGCAGGCATGAGGGATGCAGGCATGAGGGATGCAGGCACGGTAGACGAAGGCACGGGGGACGCAGGCACGGGGGACGCAGGCACGCGGGATGCAGGCACGGGAGATGCAGGCACGGGAGATGCAGGCACGGGGGATGCAGGCACGTGGGATGCAGGCACGTGGGATGCAGGCACGTGGGATGCAGGCACGTGGGATGCAGGCACGTGGGATGCAGGCACGTGGGATGCAGGCACGTGGGATGCAGGCACGTGGGATGCAGGCACGTGGGATGCAGGCACGTGGGATGCAGGCACGTGGGATGCAGGCACGTGGGATGCAGGCACGTGGGATGCAGGCACGTGGGATGCAGGCACGTGGGATGCAGGCACGTGGGATGCAGGCACGGGGGATGCAGGCACGGGGGATGCAGGCACGGGGGATGCAGGCACGTGGGATGCAGGCACGTGGGATGCAGGCACGTGGGATGCAGGCACGTGGGATGCAGGCACGTGGGATGCAGGCACGTGGGATGCAGGCACGTGGGATGCAGGCACGTGGGATGCAGGCACGTGGGATGCAGGCACGGGGGATGCAGGCACATGGGATGCAGGCACGGGGGATGCAGGCACGTGGGATGCAGGCACGTGGGATGCAGGCACGTGGGATGCAGGCACGTGGGATGCAGGCACGTGGGATGCAGGCACGTGGGATGCAGGCACGTGGGATGCAGGCACGTGGGATGCAGGCACGTGGGATGCAGGCACGGGGGATGCAGGCACGGGGGATGCAGGCACGTGGGTGAGGCGTACAGCATACTCATGGTGGTGAGGCGGGTGAAGGTGGTGGGAATGCCGCCCGTGAACTCATTGTTGGACAGCTGCCTGCAGACACAGGTGGGCCGCCCAGCAGGGCACGCAGAGAGAGAGTTGAGGCATGGAGAGGCAAGGGCAAGGGCACAGAGGTGCGCGCATGGACCCAGGCGGAGAAATGAGGACAGAGAGCAAAGGGTCAACTGCACGGGATGCAGACATGAGTGCAACGAAGCAGGGTAGAGAGGGATGGGGCTTACAGGGAAGAGAGTTGGGGCAGTGCAAGGTGAGGCGGGATGGGGCCACTAAAGGCGTTGTAGCCAAGAGCTCTGGATAGGAAGGGGGGGTGACTCCTCTAAATTATTATAATGGTGTTTCAAACAGAAAACGGAATGTGCAATGATTGGAGAAAAAGGGAAGAGCAAGTAAAGAAAGGGGGGAAGAAGGCCATGCATAACGGAAAGATGCAGGGGTACCGAACATGGGCAGAACCCCTTGAGGAGACAGAGAGAACGACAAGGGAGGAGGAATGAAGAGGGGGCGTGGAGGCAAGAGAGGGAGAGAGGGGAGCATGAGGGTCTACAGAGGAGGAAGAGGAAAGCGAAGATTGTAAGTTTGGGGGCTGGAGCTCGAGGGAGAGAGGAGAGGTGCTCCAGACATACATGCTCTGGATGTTGGTGGTGAAGGCACGGGGGATGGAGCCAGACAGATGATTCCATGAGAGGTCTCTGCAGTGGGAGGGGGCAGGAAGAACGGCGGGTGCAGCGCATGACGAAGGGGGCGAGACAATTGTGAGCAACGAGATGGTGAGAGAGCGGAGGGGGGGGGGGAGAGCGAAGGGATGTGCATGCTGGGAACTTACATTGCAGTGAGGGCTGTTAGAGCAGAGAGGGCGGCGGGGATGGTGCCTTGGAGATGGTTGAAACTCAAAGCCCTGAAACAAGGAGAAGGTGGAGCTCCCATTTACAAAATGCAGGTTAAGTGTTGGGATTGACAAGATAGGCATTCACTGGGTGACAGCTCAACGGATTGGTAACAGCACCACGGAAGGATGACAGCATGGGGGCATGCAAGGATGACAGCATGGGGGCATGGCAGGATGACAGCGTGGGGGCATGCAAGGATGCCAGCATGTGGGCATGTCAGGATGACAGCGTGGGGGCATGCAAGTATGCCAGCATGGGGGCATGGCAGCACGGCAAAGCAGGCAGTGGCTCACAGGTATTGCAGGTTGAGGAGAGACGAGCAGGTCTTAGGCACGGAGCCCTCCAGGTTGTTTCCAGTGAGGGATCTGCCGAGCGTGCCACCAGGCACGAAATGCAGGGCACGAGGATAACACAAGAGGGAGGGACTTGTGCAGGAGTGCCAGGAACGTGCTCCAGTGCAGCACAGCACAACCCCCTGCCCGCCTGGTGCCCTCTCCGACTGGAGCAGGTGCAGCAATGGGGCTAGCTATTCCCACACCCATACACGAAAGGGTTGTGACATGCTTGGCCCTTTGGTTCATGTCGTATGACTGAGGGTTGTGAACTTGGCGTGCTGCACTCACAGCGAGGTGAGCGCTGTGAGGTGCGAAATGTCATCAGACAACAACCCCTGCCGCCGCGGTTCGTCCGCGTTCACGTTGCTGCATGCAAGGGCAGGGGGACAAGGGCAGGGGGGCAAGGGCAGAGGGGCAATGGCAGGGGGGTAAGGGCAGGAGGACGAGGGCAGGGGGGCAAGGGCAGGGGCACAAGGGCAGGTTGACAAGGGCAGGGGGGTTACTCCTAAGTAGACTCAAAAGGCAGGGGGACAAGGGCAGGCCTGCGAGACTTTCCGGGTTTAGACAAGGCAAGACCAGGGCAGTGGTATGCATGTTTCCGGTATGTGGTGTGAGCAGCAACAAGGGCGGTAGGTGTGTGGCGACGGCAGGGATCAATGTGCGGCAGGAGGAGCTCACAGATACTGAAGGGTTGCGAGGTGAGTCACCCAGTCAGGAAATTCCACTGCCCGAAGGTACGACAAATCGCTGCAGGGGAGAATCCAAGGGGGCGGCACAAGGATAAGGGCATAGCGGAGGGCTGGCCTCGTGCCACAGGAGCAGTCAGTGAAAATCTGATGGTGCACGTGAAGGAGTGTGCTTTATCTGATCTATTCTTGGACCCATGTGTAGGTCAGCTTACAGTGCAGTGAGCGACGTGAGGTATCGGATCTCCCTGGGTATCTCCCCCGTGGCATTGGTGAACGAACTGAGTGTCCTGCACACATGCACATGCACGGAAGGGAGACAACACTACCAGTGCACAGTGAGAGGCAGCCCGAAAGTCAGTTCCCACACTGACTGACATGAACTATACCAGTTGAAGCATTGAGGCAACATCACCTCCCGGCGCACTGAAATCGAGCTTACAGGCTTTGAAGTTTTTCCAGGTGAGAGAGAACGTGCAGAGAAGACAAATCCCCTGTGAATTCCGCCAAGCCAACAAGATTCCTGGTGGTTGATGGTTGGTGGTTGGAGGGTTGTGGGAAGTGTGAGAAGCCATGGGGCGGGCGGAGGGTGGGACATGACACGGGGCTTGTGCACGAGTTGCTGGAGCGGCAATCAAATGAGGGCAACGTGGCCCGGAGACGACTTTTGAGGCGCATCAAAAGGAGGGAGGGACATGACACTGGGCTTGTGCATGAGTTGCTGGAGCGATGGGGCGTGTGGCAATCAAATGAGGGCAGCGTGGGTGGCCCGGAGGAGACAAAATGGGAGTGCCAACTGCATGACGAGTGGCAATGTTATCCGGGTGTGTGAAGTGTGAGCAGGGTGTGTGAAGTGAAGTGTGAGCAGGGAGTGTGAAGTGTGTGAGCAGGGTGGGGCAGTGTGCACGGCACAGCGTACAGTGTGTGCAGGTTGGAGAGGGAGGAGAGCCAAGCCAGTCCCTCAAGAGTGCCAGTGAGTTGGCTGCCGTCTGCTCCCATGGCTCTGAGGACATGCACAACATGCAGTCAGGCATGCCACACATGCAGTCAGCCATGCCGCCACACATGCAGTCAGCCATGCCGCACATGCAGTCAGCCATGCCGCACATGCAGTCAGCCATGCCACACATGCAGTCAGCCATGCCACACATGCAGTCAGCCATGCCGCACATGCAGTCAGCCATGCCGCACGTGCAGTCAGCCATGCCGCACATGCAGTCAGCCATGCCGCACATGCAGTCAGCCATGCCGCACATGCAGTCAGCCATGCCGCACACACAGTCAGCCATGCCGCACGTGCAGTCAGCCATGCCGCACATGCAGAGGAGTGGTGGAACGAAACATCAACTCCTTGAGAAAGGAGCAAGCAAGAGCGATACAAATCTTTGGCAGCAGGGGAGAGAAGGGGCGCAGTGCACTGCATGGGCCATGGCGGAGGCGGGGCTGCGGGGCACATACAGGAGGGTGAGGCCAGTGAGGCTCGCGAGGGATGGGATGGGCCCCGCCAGCTGATCGTTTGTCAGATCACTGTGGGCATGGGCAGGCAGGAAGCAAGAAGACAGGCGGGAGGCGGAATGAGGCGTGCAGAGGGCTGCCTCGGCGCAGATCACATCCGCACTGCTGCACCAACTGCTGCACCAACTGCTGCGGAGTTGTAGCGTGCAAGAGCAGCGAGCGGGGGCAGCGGGGTGCGGATTATGAAGCAAGCGGGGAGAAAGATGGGGGAATCTCTGCATAGAAATGGCCGCTTTGAAGCTTCCTGGTGAGGCGGGGCATGGACGCGAGCAAGCACGGCCTCCGAGGGCAATAACAGGAGAGACTTTGCAACGGAAGGAAGGTGGAGCACGGCGAATGAGTGATGCCGTGGTGCATGCATTGCAGAGTGCATGGAGTGGCGAGCGAGCGGGGAGGGTGGGCGGGGACGGTTGGCGGGGATGGTGGGCGGGGACGGTTGGCGGGGATGGTGGGCGGGGACGGACAGGTATTGGAGAGCGGCGAGATTGGTGATGGAGTCAGGTATGGCAGCACTGCCATCCACCGATACTGCCTTTGAATCCCTGCCAGTGCCACCCACCACACGCAAGCAACCACGCCATGCTCCCATCCCTCCACACTACCCCCCTACCCATCCCCTCCCACCGCCCCTCCTTGCCCACTTTTCCCCTACCCCTCCTCTTCCATGCCCCTTACCCCATCCCAATCAACCGCCTCTTCCCGATTTTCGGCCCCACCAAACAGGCACCGCTCACACAAGTTCAGCGCATTCAGAACAAAAACAGGTGATGCACCGCGATGAGTGGAGGGGTTGCACGCGATAAAGTGGTAGTAACGTGGTGAACAGTGGGAGTGGTCATGTGGGGCAATGGAGGGCAATGGGGGGGGGAGGGGAGAGGCAATGGCACTCACAATGCGACGATGAGTCCGTTAGGGCTGCACGTGACGCCAGGCCACGCAGAGCAAGCAGTGGTGTCGTTGCTGTTGCCCGCCCACGCGCCCCACGCCTGCTGCACCGCCACCACCGCGCTTACTGCACTACCGCAGTGCGCGCACATGCAGCGAGCGGCCGAACAAGGAGAGGGAAGGAAGTGAATCGGATGAGCGTCTCAGCGCGTGCGGCGTACCAGCGTGGACCTCTCGTGCAGCGTTGAGCTCCTAGTGCTACGGCACAACGCCCAGCTAGACCACTTGGTCAAAACGGGGTTTTTTCAGAGGCGTAATGCTGCAGGCATTACTACACCCATCTCCCACCGGTGCCAATTCAGTAACTTCAGAAAGTCGGCCCCCACAAGGACCTCGATTTCTCTTGGCTGCACAGCGACTTCGCTGGGGCCCCAGGCTCGATCTAAGACAGGTCTCATTTCGCGTCGAAATCTCGATGATGCTGCACTTCACTGATTCCCGAGCCGCGAACCCAGAAAAGCCACCTGCAGGTTCAGTAAACTTACTCTCTCGCAATCCCTAAAAAACATCCCACCCCGACCTCACACATTTTGGGATGTGCTACTTTTTTTATTGCGTTATAGTGATCGGCCATGTTCAGTCACTTTGGGATGTGCTACTTTTCCGCAGCTGGTCGTTGTTTTTCCGCAGCTTTATCAAAACATTAAATCATGTTCAATGTGCACATCTTTGTGTTCCTCATTTTATCGCGATGAGTGAGGGATATGGGGAGGCCGGAGCGGGTCGAGCGCGAGGGCAGCGAGCTCACGTTGCGACGCCTCCAGAGACACGGGCCTTGCGGCATGATCGCCGCTGTCAGTCGCCTCGGAATCGGCGGCCGCGGAGGAGGCGGCGTTGAGCTTGAGGAGCGCGCGCTGTGCGCGGGTGGGCCGAGCAAGGGGAGACGGCGGCACGCGCTGATTTGGGCGACGCGGGGCTTGTGGCCGTGGCGGTGGGTCGTTGGCGGAAGAGACGGAGCAATCGGCGGTGGCAGTGAGCGCGAGGGCCGCGCAAAGGAGAAGCCGCGCTGCTGCATCGGCGCGCAATGGCCACGGAGGCGGCGCATCGCAGCGCATGGCAGAAAAACGAGTTCTATGCGAGGCAGACATCATTAGAACTCGTACGGTTATTACTATTAGAGCACCGCTGCTGACTGCATCGTGTGAGGCCTGTGCTACTGAGGTTACTGCTCGAATCACTGATTACTGAGGCCCGCCAACAGAAGCACGAAACCCACCACTGCCACAGAAAGAATAGCCGATCTGAAAGGCCGAGGGAGGGCGAGGTCAAGGGCTAGGAGGTCGGCGGAGACTCTCTGGAAACCCTCAGAAGGGCGAGGGGAAGAAAACGTACGCAGGTGTGGATGCGGCGCCTGGCGCCTATACGCTAGGTGTGCGGATGACCGCAATTGGATGAAGGATGGCCCGAGCAGTTGGCTTGATTTCAGGGAAGACACGTATGGCGGATGGTTGGCAGGAAAGTCGCTGAGAAACGACGTTGGTTGTTCGTGACGGTTGTCAGAGGGTAACGTCGTCCATCCACTCCCGTCCGGAGGTGTGTGCCGGCGGACGGTAGTTTAGACGTCAGATTTTTTTCGTGTCCTGGCCTACGTGACTCGTTAGTTCGTTTGCGTGATCGTCGGTGCCCAGGAAATTCGCCAACTTCACAATCCTCTTTTGCCGAGATCAAACCGTTGATTTGACCTTGTGTGACACAACTATTACCTGTTTCTAGTATCCGCGCGTATCTGGCAGGCTCAGCTTGTTACATTCGAATTGGCTAAACTAACCATACCGAACCGATGTATAACCGCACTAAACCGCGATCTTACACCGCGGATGTCACTACATCGAGCTCCACTACACCGAACACCGTTCTGCTATGCTGGGACACCCAAAACAAACTGTAGTTTATGCTGTACACAAATTCACAAAGTGTTTAAGTGAAAACATGCAAATACTCAGTAGCATGGGAATCGTTATTGCAAACGTTCACCCAAACAAACAAAATGTTCAGCACTAGGGAGTGGTCTAAGATGTAGCGAGTTGGTTATTTAAATGTCAAATATTATCACAAGTGTTCCGCGAAGTTTTCCACGCGCCAATCGGAGCTGGAATTCAAACCATTCTAAATTTTCGCCTGTTCCATACCCAAAACTATCTGTATAAACTCACGGGGATCTTAGCCAGGACCTGGCTCAGGGTTGATCGTAGGTAGTTTGCGGCGGCAGTCTGAATTAATGACACAAGTCAGAAGTGACAGAAGTCACTATAACAAGGAAACACAAAGGTGCATGTAAGATTACAAGGGGGATATGAAACGGCCCAGCTAGCCATGTACTCTAAGAAGTAAATTCCATTATTACGTCGAAACTCAACCGTGCGGCGCGGGAGCTCATTCTAAACCCGTCCCGCCTTTTTCCTCACTGATATACCTTATGGCCCCAAATATAAGCACAGTGTCAAAATCACACCCATTACAGTGGGGTGGACGCGTGCGGGTGGAGACGGTAGAAGCATGTCAAATGTTGATGTTTGTGATAGGCTGTAGTGAGGTGCTCCTTAGTGAGTACAAACATGTTAGGGTTTCCTAGTTGTACTCCAACTCCTTTCTAGTCAAGCATTCCGTTGTTCGCTAACTTTGAGATGGTATCATGAGTAGGTGTTGATCCTCTCGCGTAGCCTAGCCTAGCTCGCGCCCTAGCGCCCTCCGCGCCCTTGCGCCCTAGCACCCTCCACGCCCTCCGCGCCCTCCGCGCCTTAGCCTCCGCGCCCTCCGCGCCATCTCCGCGCCTTAGCGCCCTCCTCCTTCGGGCGTTAGCGCCCTCCGCGCCCCTAGCCTGCGCCCCTAGCCCGTCGCCCAGGGCCACGCCCTAGCCCGACGCCCAGGCGCCCGCCCTAGCCCGTCGCCCAGGCGCCCGCCCTAGCCCGTCGCCCAGGCGCCCGCCCCAGCCCGTCGCCCAGGCGCCCGCCCTAGCCCGTCGTCCAGGCGCCCGCCCCAGCCCGTCGCCCAGGCGCCCGCCCTAGCCCGTCGCCCAGGCGCCCGCCCTAGCCCGTCGCACAGGCCCGAGCCCTAGCCCGTCGCCCAGGCGCCCGCCCTAGCCCGTCGCCAGGCGCCCGCCCTGGCCCGTCGCCCCAGCCCGCGCCCTAGCCCGTCGCCCCAGCCCGCGCCCTAGCCCGTCGCCCCAGCCCGCGCCCTGGCCCGTCGCCCCAGCCCCGCAGGCAGCTCGCCGCGCGGGTAGCGCGCCCCGCGGGTAGCGCGCCCCGCAGGCAGCACACCCTGCAGGCAGCGCGCCCCGGAGCGCTTTAGTGCCAGAAAATAACTAAATAAATTAAACCTTAAAAAAAAAAAAAAAAAAAAGGGGTTTAGGGTGGGGGCCTGCAACTGTCGCCCGCGTTCCTGCTTGCCGGACGACCTGCACAGTTGCCTACATCCCGCAGCCGTCAGTATTGCAGCCCTTACTGTCGCACGTACTTTCCACTGCCAGTGGCTCTACTAGCGGCAGCCGACAGCCGCACTTACGGTCTCTAGCTCCGGCCGTTCCTACCTCCAACCAGCCCTAGCTCGCCGTTTCTAGCTCCAGCCAGTTGTGCTCCAGCCGTTCTAGCTCCAGCCGTTCTCGCTCCAGCCGTTCTCGCTCCTCGCTCGTAGCTCAGTTTGCTCCGTGCTCCAGCCGTTCCTTGCCTAGTTTCACATGGCGCTCCTAGCTTAGTTCGCTCCGTGCTCCAGCAGTTCCTCGCCTAGTTTCACCTGGCGCTCCTAGTTGTTCTCGTTTTTCACTGCAGCCGTCCCTAGCTCCTGTCGCTCCTAGCCTGCCGCTCATGCACCCCGCTAGCTTTTATCATGGAGTCCACTAGGGTTCTCCAGCAGCAGGGACAGCAGCAGCGACCGTTTCAGCAGTGGCTTCCGCAGCAGCATGGGCGCCTTCAGCAGCTGTGGCGCCCTCAGCAGCCGTGGGGGCCTGGTGGTTCAGGTCGCGTTGGCTGCAGCAGCGGCACAGCCAGCTGGGGGGCTCGTCGCGGTGGCCGCGACGTCGGCCCCTGCCAGTACCGGATCCTGACCGGCCCTGGTGCTGGCACTACCTGCTGGCGTCCTGACCACTCTGCACAGCGCTGCTACAGCCGCCTCGACGACCTTTACCGTGAGCGTTTTGGGCCTGAGTCGGCTCCCCCGATCTGGCCCGGTCTGTTTCGTAGTGGTTACCCTGTGTTTGATATGTCTATGGATGTTGTTTATTCTGTCACGTACGGATCTCTTGGCTTACGTGTACCTAGCTTAGGACCTTTGTCTGTTGCTAGTGTCGGTACTTGTGCTTTTAGTGTAGGTGCTTGTGTAGTCACTAGCCCAGCCGTGACGACTGCTGTTGCGTCGCTCTCCTTCACGCTGGACTCCGGCGCGTCTCAGTGCTTCTTCCGCGACCACACCACTGTCACACCTCTTTCGGCTCCAGTCCCAGTTGCCCTGGCTGATCCTACTTCAGGACCAGCAGTTGCTCGCAGCTCGACCACCCTCCCGTGCCCAGCTGTCCCCTCTGGTTTCCTCACTGGTCTCTACATCCCTTCGTTCTCTCGGAACTTGGTGGGTGTTGGATACCTTCAGGACCGGGGGATCACAGTCACTTTTCCTGCGCACGGGAGGACTGCGATCTGTACGGACTCTTCCACCGGGGCAGTTCTTGCCACGTTCACCAGAGAGCCCCACTCAGGTCTCTTCGTCCTGCACACTCCGCCCCCGCAGGTAGCTGCGTCTGGTCAGGTTGCTTCGTCCCCCCCGGTAGCAGAGTCCGGTCAGGTTACTGCGTCCCCACCGGTTGCTGTGTCTGGTCAGGTTGCTGTGTCCGGTCAGGTTGCTGTGTCTGGTCTAGTTGATGCGTCTTGCTCGTGTCGGTCTTTCACCCACCGGACCATCTTGTGGCACCGCCGTCTTGGCCACGCGTCGATCCCCCGCCTCCGCACTATGGCTAGTCACCGTCTTGTTTCAGGTCTCCCTCGCGTCTTCCCGTCGCTCCCTCCCTCGCCTGCGCCGCCGTGCACTCCTTGCGTCGCCGGCCGTCTTCGTGCCACTCCGCACTCCTCCTCCCTTCGTCCGGCCACTGCTCCCTTCCAGACACTCCACTTGGATGTCTGGGGCCCTGCACCTACGCAGGGACCTGAGAGGGAGCGCTACTTTCTGGTGGTCGTCGACGACTTCTCCAGGTACACCACGGTGTTTCCTCTCGCGAAGAAGTCCGAGGTGACTTCTACGCTGATCCGGTGGCTTCTAGCCACTGAGGGCACTCGTGGCCGTCGTGTCTCCTGTCTCCACTCTGACCGTGGGGGTGAGTTTCGCTCAGGCATTCTTGCCGGATTCTGCGGCGAGCAGGGCATCGTACAGTCCTGGACGCTGCCGGAGTCCCCACAGCAGAATGGGGTTGCCGAGCGCCGCATTGGCTTGGTCATGGACATCGCCCGCACGTCCATGATTCATGCCCGTGCGCCCCATTTTCTGTGGCCCTACGCGGTTCGCTACGCCGCTCACCAACTGAACCTCCAGCCGCGCGTCTCGCGGCCAGAGGCTTCACCGACCAGTCTTTGGACCGGGTCCCCTGGTGTTGGGTCAGCTTTTCGTGTCTGGGGCTGCCTTGCGCTTGTCCGCGACACCTCTGCGGAGGCTCGCGCCGTCCCCTATGTCTTCCTTGGTTTCCCGGTAGCCTTGGCCGACTGGTCCTTTTACCACCCGCCCCTCCACCAGTTCCTAGACTCCCGTGACGTCCAGTTCGACGAGTCAGTGTCCTACTACACCCGGTACCCCTGTCGAGGTCTCCCGGTTCCCCCTCCCCCCCTTTTCCTCGCACCCTCTCTTCCCCCTGCTCCGGCTCCTCCGGTACCCCCACCCCCTCCTGGTCCTGCCCCGTCAGGTGTGTCTCACGCTACCCCTCTACCCTCGGTCGCGCGTCAGGTAGCGTCTCCCTCCCCGCAGTCCTCCTCACAGTCCCCTCAGCAGCCTTCGGTACTTCCGCGAAAGGCTACTGTGGACTCGGTTGGTGTTGGAGCTGGAGGTGCAGCCACTGGCGGTACTCGGTCCGGGGGTGCTCGTTCGAGGGGTGCTGGAGTTGGAGGTGCAGGCGCAG